CTCCTCAGGCCCTCCAGCCCCCTGCTCTGTTTCTGGGCCCTCTGGTCCTTTGTTTTCTCTCTGTGTCCCTGGCCCTGCTCTCTTGCTGAGCCCTCTGGCCTCTCTCTCTTGGGCCAGCTGGGACATCCTTACCTTCCCTTAATGCCTTCCACAAATCACCAAGGTTGCTTAACCCAGCTCAGATGTTAACCAGGAGCCCTGCTGCCCAGGAGTTCCTCTTCCCATGGCTCTCAGGGCTTGATTGCCTGCCCAGCTCCATCTCTGAACTTACATCCTGATAATCCAGCTCCTGTAGCCCATATGATTCCTAATTGCCCCCTAGCATACCTGCAGGCTGCTTCTCAAGCAGCCTGCCTTCTCTTAAAATAGCAGGAGCATCAAGCACCCCTTGCTCCCACCCAGCTGCTGCTGAGCTCCACGTGCCCATTCACTGTCCCTTCCCCACACCTGCTGCTGCTTTCATAGCTTCTCTGCCTGTAGCTGCTGCCACTCCTCTCCACCCCCTGCCAGCTGCTATGGTACCATGTGGCTCCTGGCTGTAGCACCAGTACCACAGTAGCCGGCTCAGACTGACCCTGAGGACTGGGGTGATCACCCACAGTCCTCCCCTGCCTCCCCTCTCCTCCCCCTTCTTATTTGAATTTCCCTCTGGCGCAGGGAGGCAGGAACAGCCCCAGGGACCCAGGCCAGAAGCCTCTGCTTCACCTGGGGCTTCTGGCTAGGGTTGGGGGGACAGGCCACCAGGCCTTGCTTCTGCTTGATCCTGCCAGTAGCTTCCCCTGGGTCCTACTTCCCCTGGCTTCTGTCAACTTTGACAGGCAGCCAGGAGCAGATATATTATTTTTAATTTTTTTTTAGGGGCCCTGCAGGCTGGATAGAATGGCCTGGTGGGCCAGATCTGGCCCACAGACTGTATTTTTCCCGCCCCTGCATTAGTGCCCATTCCTGTCTCTCTGAGATCTATGCCACAAGCATCATAAGACTCAGACTAGCTTGAGTGGCCATCAGATTGGGTATGCTAGAGGAGTGGGAGGGGAGAGGAAAGGGAAGGGGGGTTGTGGGCCTGATCTGTCCCATAGATAAGCAGTGGTTCTGTATAGGATGGTTTGGATACAGATGATCCTGCCTCAGGCAGGGCATTGCATTAAATGACCTCTGGAGGTTCCTTTCAGCCCTACTGTTCAGTATTTTTTTGTGAGAATCCCCCGGCCCCATTCCATTATTGCCCTAACGACAACTACATTTGGAGATCTATCAACTAGCTGATTCTTAATCCATTTAACAGTTTTGTATATATTGTATGGTGCTTATAAGAATAACATGTGATAGCTAGTAATATGTTTAGATTTTTGTGTGATCAACCAAACACCTGATCAGTAATGTAATGAAGGTTGTGCAACCAGGGCACTGGCTCCAGGAGCCCACTTATAGGGGTGCAAGAATGGCAGTTGCCACTGCCACCCAGGGTACAGACCTTGGTAGTTATGTCTCTGCATCAGATGTCCCCAGAGAATGAGATCAGGTTTACTTGACAAAATCTATTTTCTATATACCCTTACTTATTCATTGTATTTCTAGCCTTTAATTCTGTATTAACTGAATGTCACAACAGCTTTTCCATTATTGTCCAGGACTGAAAATATGTTAATCCTAAAATTCCCTCCTACCTCTTATGAACACTGACACAACTTTGGTATTGTTCCAGTGTCCAGGAATTTCCCTGGTATTCCAAGACTTATTACAAAAAATTAGCAGGCCAGAAATCTCCTCAGCCAGCTTCTTTAGCAGTCTTCAGTGCAAGTTATTCAGGCCAACTTATTTAAAAACGTTTATCTAAAGGTATCCTCTAATAGATCTCCATGGTTGCCAGTGGACTGGAAATTACTTCATCCTGCTTCTTTCCCAGCAAAGAACAGAAATATTTACCAAACATGCCTGCCTTTTTTCACATTAGTAACAGTGAGTCTATACTATTGTCAGATTTTTTTGGCCCTAGCACACTTAAAAAACCCTTCTTATTGTCTTCAGTCCTCTATACTGTAGATTTTTCCGTTATTTTTAGCTTCCATTACAAATTTTCTATTCCTTACAACTCTAAGTTATATCAGTTGCCATCCTTTTTTACCTATTTGTTACATAGTGTTTTGTTCTAATTGCTGCCTTCAGTTTGATGAATTAGGAAGAGTTTTAGCCAAAGCTAGCTACCCTCTTGACTGTAAAATCATGCCTATTTGTGGCCATGTAATACATTCTGCCTAAAGAACACCCAAGTTTCATTTTTTTCCTTGCATTTTTCCCCCTCAATTTCTCTCAGCTTTGGAAAACTGGCCTTTTTGAATCATCAGCTATACATGCATGCAAACTTCTGAGAATCACATGCTGCAGAGGGATCTGTTGATCTACTCTGCAATACACTAGCCCCAGATCTGGTTCTGGCATTCTAAATATTCACTCTTTTGCTACTGCTGGCCATCATGACCAACACAGTTTTCCCATCTCCCTATCAACTCTCAAAGCTTAAAGTAGCATGAGAAACATGGAGAGTTGAGCTGGTGTGTAGAGCTCAAAACTCAGTGTGTGTGTGTGTGTGCGCGTGCGTGCGTGCATGCGTGCGCGCACAGAGCAAGAATGGTGTGGAAGTGGTCAAAGCAAAGGATATGATGGAACAGTGATGTACTGTGGGTCTCCAGTGCCCAGGAGCCAATGCTTGCATTTGCACCCCCCACTCCCCCCCATCCTTCTTGTAGCAATACTTAAAGCAGAGTTGGCCCACAGTTTTTTGGGGCCCCCTGATACAAAGAAGTGGGGGGGGGTCATGAAGCCAGTGGAGGGGGGAGGGTGTGGCAAGTGGCCAGATGTCAAACTGGCAGTGGCAATGCGGACTGGTGGCAACCGCCCACACCCCTTGCTATGGCACTGATTTCGAGTGTTCATGGCTGCAGGGCGCCCCTCGGCTGCGGGGCACCTGTGGCCACAGGTTCTGCAGGATAGGGCGGCCCAGCTCTGACTTAGTCACGTTGCACAATAAGAACTCTGAAGGGCCCAGCTGATGCCCCCCACCCCAAACCAGTGCCCCTACCCCAAACCAGTGCCCCCACCCCATCAGTCCGCCGCTGCGGTGGAGAGAATGTTGGATCACTGCTTGTCCAAGGGACCTGAATAATTTCAGAGAATTGAGAGCTACAAGGAGAGGGCCTTGTTTCCCACTCCAGAAGAAGGCAAACTCTCTCCCCCCACTGCCCCTCCTCCCACCTCTCCAATCCATACCAGTCTGACTACCGGTTAAAACTGCTTCCTGATTCCCAAAGGTGGTGACTGGTCTGACCCTGAGAACACGGCCCTGAGCACAACCCTGTACCACAAACCTTTGGGTTTAAGTGACACAAAAATAACATTCTCAATGAACTGATAGAAGCAACAGGACTGGCATCCATGGTCTTTCTGCTTAGGCAGTCTAGTGTGCTAATAATGTCTGTTGAAAAATGGGTGACTATTCTAGTGATTCAGAAGGAAAAAGCGCATCACATTTCTTGCACCATATAGACAAACAAGCATTAAAGCCTACTTAATGCTGATTATTGTGAGGATCACTTTTCCTGTGTCTGGTTTACCTGGAGTTGTAATCAATAGCTCCTTTCTTTGAGCATTGATTTTAAAATCCTTTAAAATACTTTTCTTTCAGAAATGACCATCTGAAGGAAAGAATGTCTTCAAAGGCTGAAACCCATGAAACAGGGCATTTGGTTATGGCAGGGCCAGGAGCTATTCAGGAGAAATAAAGGAAGGGGGAGCCTCCAAAGGTCAGATGCCTTAAGTTCAGCTGGTCCAATAGATGCTAAAAGTACAGTGCATTACCCAAACCTTTATCAGAACTGAGTAAGAATCTCCCAATAACAGGCTTTCCCACAAAAGACCTGGTATCTGCCTCTAGCTAGGAATCTCTTTAATAGTAAGGCCACAAAGAATATTGGAATATGGGATGTTTGTAAAGTCTACTTAACTAAACTTTAACAAATATCCCAGATTGAATTGGAGTCCTGATACCTTCAAGAATGAGCTGTGTTTTGCTCGAGTCCCTTGAATATGATTCGTGTCCTGTGACCAACCTTGAAAATGAGCCTGAGATACTGGAGCTCAGAGCTACTGGAGTGTAAAGCCGGAGTTTGTATGTGGGTGGGTGTGAAACCAGAGTCTTGTTTACCTGAAGGTAATTCACTGTCCTGTGATCTCCATTTTAGGAGTAAGGCTTGTATTCTGTCTCAGCCCTGCTACTTCTCATTGGTTCTCATGGGAACCATAAACCCAGCCTGGGAGATATTGTAGGGGAAATGGGACCTATGAGATAGAGGTGACAAGTCCCAGCTTGAGAAAATGTTGTAAGAGCCAATGCAAGTATCTATCAAATACAACTTCATGCTCAGCCCCATGTTCTTCTCTAGTGCCAGGACCCAATTTCAGGCATCTGTATCCCCATTCCTAGCACCACCTACTACCATTAAATAAGTGCATAAATAAAAATATTAGTTTAGCCACTATCAATAATGCAGCTGCTTGTACTTATCCCCAGACAAACCCTGTCTCCAACCCCCAGTGAGGAAGACCTGGAGGAGAGGGGAGAGTACACATGCTTATGGAGCCCACCATGCAGAAAAGCCAGGGTTATTGGGGGTTAGATGCCAGTGGAGATGGAAAGCAAGGCTTCTGAACTGAAAGAAGAGAATCCCGCACAATGCACAATCTATACATTCAGCAGATGACCAGGCTCTTTGATAGATGAGCAAATATTGCTTGCCAGTTAAGTCTGGATTCTAAAGTATGCCAGTTCCCTGCTATCTGCTTACTAGGGAGGGTCAGTCATAGAACCATTTAATGACTTCACATGTTATTGTGCCTTTGAGTACCCTCAACTAATGTGACTTTCTCCTGGTAGTGTTTGCTAGTACTGGTGTGAGAATATGGATGCCAGCTCTAAGTACTTGGCTTCTGTGTTTTGATAACAGGTATGCCCCAGTTGGGATAATGTTTTTAATTGCTGGAAAAATTCTGGAGATGGATGACTTAGCAGTGATGGGGGGCCAGCTGGGGATGTACACAATCACTGTCATCGTGGGACTGCTTATCCATGCCCTTTGTGTTTTGCCGCTGCTGTACTTCATCGTCACCCAGAAGAATCCCTGGGTTTTCATTGGAGGCCTTCTACAGGCTCTTATCACTGCGCTTGGCACCTCCTCAAGGTATAGTTTATACACTACCATCTATCCCTACCTACTCTGCTCTGTTGGCGTGAGTAAAAAATAACCAACAGAAGTGTGTGTGGGGGGGGACGGGGGACGGAAGGGAGGGCATGACTGGACTGGGCACTTATTTAGATGTCATGGATCAGACACTCACTGTTGGTCCAAGCTTCCACTGTTTTCAGTGGGCTACTAAGATCTTTTCAAACCCTTTGCACTAGGCAAAGCCAAAGCTAAAACTCACTGGTCAGTAAAAAAAAAAAAAAAAAAAAAAA